TTCCCCTCACCTCCCTACTCATCCCTCCCCCACTCACTCCCCTCCCTCCCCTTCTCACTACGAGGCCAGTATATTACCTTTTTTCATCTCGCTGGCCGTTTGAGATGTTTTCAAAGGAAATTGTCAGCAGGTCGCAAATCATACGAATGACGATGCTATGTAATGACAGAATCTGTGCATTCAGTGTTTGTGATGCATCATTTTCGATTTTCTTTTCTCTCTTCTGTAGGCTGTAATCGAGGGCAAATGGCCGTCCAACACGACCAGTTCTCACATGTGGAATAAACTAAGGAATTTCTTCGCCGCTGTATATGAGCTTCAAAGACTAGCGAGATTAGCAAAGAATAACAAAGGAGGTGAACTCAAATTTGAATTTTTAAAGTAGGTCGCTTTAATAATCGTTATTCGCCCTCCCCCGGCTATGTTTTTTCTAACTTGGATAAGTTCTGCCTCTTTGGTGTATTCCTTATCTTATTGAACCAATATTCTGTCGCTTCTTGTGAGATGAGGATGGTTTCGCCTATCGCAAAAAAATTAATTTTTTGTTCGTCTGCTGCTGTCTTTTCCTTTTAGTTCGTAGATTATATAACACAAACCTAGTTGAGAAAGGATTTTTTGTAATTTGTTCCTAGATTCCTTGTCCCCGACGGAGTCAAACAACGACTTGGATCTCTTAGACACGCCTAGAAGAGCGACAGTGAAAAAATCCGACCGATCACGCACTCCGTCGCGCGAGCGCGAGAAAGCTTTGTCACGCGAGCGCTTGCTTGACTTAGGAGATTCGAATGATGGTGAAGGTAGACGCACACCAGATAGAGAGATTAAATCTCGACGCGAACGAACAATCAGCGAAATGTCCTCGGCTTCTGGAGCAGCGGACATTCTGAACCTGTCCACTAACTCGCTGGATGGTGTGCCTGCCTCCACACAAAGGAAACGGCGTTCGAACGGTAGAACTGTCAGCGAAACGTCTGTGTTATCAGCTGCGCTGAATGAGGGTTTGCAGCATTCCTCGTTGTATGTCAATGCTAACAGTGAGGACTCTGATCCTTACGAGTACACCACCCGGATGTTGGATGATGTCATTTTTGGTCTTCCTGCTGGTCTACAGCCTGACACTGCACTGGAAGCTGTGCTGTGTTCGTGTAACCAGTGCACAAAATGCGGGCGATATCTTTACGATGAAGACATCTTGGCTGGCTGGACAGCGGACGAGTCCAACCTCAACACTGGGTAGGGGTTCTCATGTTGTATGCGTGTAGCTTGTGTAGCGTACGGGTTTGTCTGCTTATTTGTAGATCATGGCCTCTACGTGTAATGACCATGGAGAGAATATAGGAGAGGCCTCCAGAAATTCCTTTGGGATAATATCAATGTTGCTACAAAGAGAAAGTCTCAAAGCAAGATGAAAGATTTTCAACTTTTCCTTGTTAAATGTTGTAGATTATACAATTTAAATCTGTGAATAGTTTGCACGAAGTTGAAAACGCTAGCACGGTGAGTTGATGATAATGACGATGACGCAACGAAGAGTTATTCAGACGTTTTGGTGACCCTCTGCGTGAAAATTTTCTTTGAAGGTTTCCCACAGCGCAAAGCACCCTGAAGAAAAAAGCCGTGTTTTTATACTTTAATTCGTCACTTCTTAAGCTGTACTACTCTGCCTTTTTTTTTTCTTATATGTTCTTGTTTCGTCTCTTTGTACAGATGCCCCTACTGCCACACTCAGCAGGTTGCAAGACTGACAGTAAAGATCAAGGTACTCTGAAAAATTTCGTGCAGTTATGAATGATTGGTTGAATTTTGGAACTGCTATTTGTCCAGATTCAGTTGTATTCCTAGAAAATCCCCATATCTTACTAAACGGATAAAGAGGGCCACCGTAGAGAGGTGACGGTCGAAACGTTAACTGAATGAACGCTAACTATATGCTCGTCAGAGAGAAAAACAAGTTGAAGAAAAGGTTACATCGTCACAAGACTGTTCTTGTTGTGCATCCGAATACCATTCCTTTCTTTTACCATTTTTAACCTTAACTCTTTCCTCTGAGGATTATCGGAATTGTTTTTCATCGCATCCAAGTTCGGAGTTATCGTCGAGTATTAACAGCTTCGGAAGTTCCGAACTGCTGCCGGGGAATGGCGAAGTGGAGCCGACCTCTGGACCGCTCAGCAACTCAGTGCCTTCCACGATTGAATCTAATCTTATTAAGTTCTCCAGTCCCACGCGGCCAATAAGTGCCGTTGCAATGTCTCCCCCGGCCTCTAATCCCGTCCCTATACGGGGTAGTCACCATCGAATGCGCCACAGCATCAGTGCACCGTCAAGCGCTAACGCCAGTCCCTCGGGGAGCTTGCATGGTAGCCCGAGGACTGGATCGTGGTTTCAGCGCATGCGTAGTAGCAACAGCACTTGTAGCCATGGAAGCACGTGGTATGGTAAGTATAGATTGAATGACGAACACTTGAAGACAAAAAATTATCATTTATGACGTGTTTTTTACTTTTTTTCTGATGAAATTAGCTTTGAAGTATCAGTTGAAGTCTCGGATGATTCTGGGTAGTTAAGGTTCCAAAGCAATGGCTCAAAATAGGAACTTTTATTGCTTTACATTCCTCCGAGAACATTGCGCTTCTCTTGCAAATCTCTACTTATGTAATACTAAAATGTAATTTGAGTTGTATGAAGAAAGAGGTTTTTCATATAATGCAACAGTATTTTGGAATTATCTTCCAGAGGATATGAGGAGGTGCAAGTCGTTGACCACTTTGTAAAGTGCACCTAAACCCAAAAAATTTTTCCGCTTAACGAAATAAGCGTATTTTTTGGAGTATTTCTGTGCGAACATTTTTTTATTTGCTCAAATCTTCAATTTTCTGTGCCCAGTCAAAATAAGGAAAATCGGCCGCCATCTTGGCTCACGACCGAGTTTAAAGAGGAATGGTTCTAGCTGGTAATGTGACGTCAAACCGAGAACACGAAAGTCTGCATTTCACACATTTTCACTTGTTTGAGAAGGTTGTAGTCGATATTGTCCGAAAATATGCCGACTAAGTGTGTGGTAGGAGGATGTAGACACGTGCGAANGACGTTTCGACAACCTGTGCGGAAGTCATCATCAGAGTCAAGTGAGTGATTGTTGTCAGTAGAATGTTCTTATTCCAGTTCGTGTGAAATGATCGGTTGGTTTTGCCGTGATGTTATTGGCTGTAAGACTCAAGTGACGTAAGTCGTTCGTGATTGGTCTGTTTCGGTCTGTCGGTAAAGCTAGGTTGTTCTTTTTCGGTCGTTTGTGATGTTTATGTCGTGAATGAGTCGTTTGTATGGGGCGGGTAGTTGTTGACATCTGTTTAGGGGAGTCTGTTCTAAGTTAGTAAACCAGCTTTCCAGAGTCAGTCGTTGAAAATAGTCAGTGCTGTAGGTTAGGCATTGCGCAGAGTCCCAGTCAATGTTGTGGTTGGTAAGTCGATGGTGTTCAGCAATGTGATTGCTGACATCACCTTTCCTCGTCGCCCGCCTGTGTTCAGTCAGTCTGTGTTCAGTCAAAAAAATTTTTCACAGAAATACTCCAAAAAATACGCTTATTTCGTTGAGCGAAAAACATTTTTGGGTTTAGGTGCACTTTAAATCTGATCTTAAAACTTTTCTTTTTTAATGAATTTTCAGTTTATACATCTCATAGTTTTATTCATGTGGCTTGGAACTTTCTTTTAAGTGTATTTTTACTTAATATTCTGTTCTTAATTAATTTAATATTTGACTTTTGATATTGTGAATCGTTGTTATTGTTATTATTATTATAAACAAATTAATTTCCCACAAACCCATAGCCAAATATGGGTAATTTTTGTTACACCTTAAATTGATTTCCTTTCTCTTTCCGTACAGTGTCCAGAGCTCCAGAAGAAAGGGATAATATTATGGTGACTTACCTTAATCCTTTGGTCTTAAGAAAAGAACTCGAAAATATGTTTGAAAATGATGGCATCGACAAACTACAATCTCCTGAAGTCGTGCAAACGAAACCTGACATCTTTTGGAATTTGGTGAGTTGCCTTTTTGATATTTCTTTTCTTTTCTTTTTTTTTTTTTTGAGTTGTTCAACCGTGTTTATATTTATTTTTAAAGATCTAGAATGCTGTGAACCCCAAGCTTAGTCATCGAAATGAGATAGATTTCATTACTTTCTGAAAAACGTAGGACGAAGTGAAAATTTTAAGAGCCTGACTTGCGAGAAAGTGCAATCAAAGTGTATTTTGAAATGTATACTCATAGGAAGACCAACTTTAAGGATTTTGGTCGTTTTGGCATGAATTCAATGCATTTATCTTCCTCGTTACCGCCTCGCAAAGAATGGATTCAAATGAAGAACTAACTAAATTGGAATGATGATTTTTTTCTCAGGTTTGGTATTTTAAGAGGCTTGAGCTGCCCTCGCACTTAGCAGATCACGTGTTGTCCACATACCCCAGCAACGAAAGAGCCGATAGATTCGAGGTGAAGAAACTCAACCTTGATGTCCCCTAAATCAGTTGTGCGATTATTTTTTTTAGCTGTTATGTATTTCCTCCCTAAGAGGTTGGGAGAATTTGGTGGTATATCAAACTGATGACTTTATCTATAGTCACTACGTCTTTGCTGGGAAATTTTACTTTTTCTCCTCTTTCTAATTGATCACGTGATAGGAGCGGCGCAGTATCTCAGGGCTTGGTACCCAGATCCTTGTGTCCACTTCGTGGGATGGAGACAGGGAGGAATATGACACGATCCCGTTGTACGTCCAGTGGAATGCGCCAGGTTTGTATTACTTAACGGTAATTCTTCTTGGGAGTAGCTGAACATTTTCTGTTGTACTTATGAAAAGAATTTCCTGTTCTTTTTTTCTCGCGTTATAATATGGAGATTTATTCTCTTGCCCCACGGACGAGAAACTGATGTCAAAAAGCAGAATTTTTGTCACCCAGCGCGACTTTCAATGTCGCATTTATTTCTTTTAAGAGATAAGGCTTCAGCGTGGAAACTCAGGTCATTTCTCTCAGCAAGTATCTTGCTGATAAATTTTATTTCTTCTTTTGAAGTTTTCATCTGCTAGGCTTTAGTAATATTTCCGCATATGGCGCTGATAATGTAATTCAGGCGACTAGTGTTTGTTAGAGGAAAAAGTGAAGCAAGAAATAAAATTACTACAAGGTGGAAAACAAATAGGTTCAGGGACACATATTTAATGAAATCTTGTATTGAGCATGATATTATATAAATATAGCTTTATTAATTTTAATAATAGGTTTCATCACTTTACAGTGTTCAATTTCACTTTTAGGCTTATTATTATTCTTACATTAGTCATACTATTAGATATTCTGTTACACTTTTTGTAAATACGCAATTCAGCTCCTTAGAGTGCTGCCATGCATTTATTTGTGAAATAAACCTTTAAACCTTTAAATTACTCAAACATTTTTTTGTTTGTCTGCTCTGCAGCGGATCAGCAAGGATCATTGCAAGACAAAGGACTTACCACTAGGACGTAAGGATTTTACTTGTTGTGGAGGAGGGAAGTGGAGTGGCTCGCCTCCTTCTGGGGTAGCCTGAGTCCGATTCCAGTACCTGGCGTCACATCGGTTAAGGGAAGGGGGGGAGGGAGAGGGGGAGGCGGAGGCGAGTTTATTGTTAGTTTTTATTATTCCTCGGATGATTTTTCTTTCTCCACGAAAACCGACTCTGTTTATGTCCCAGTTATTAAATATGTACTTATTGACTGAGTGGAAGGGCCGAGCGGGAAAATATTTGGCTCGAGGTCATGACGTACGGACCGAGCGAATTTTATCGCATGACCACTAAGTGTCGAAAATTTCAACCCAAATAGGACGCGATGGACGGGTACACGCAGCTACATGAGCACAAAAAAAGTTCAGCAATTGAAATTTTTCCTTCATTTTTTCAAGTCAGAACAAAAAACTCCCAATTCCTTGAAAAAGCGACTTATTCTTCTCATTTCTGTTTATCTTTGAGTTTTTGCAACAAGGCGACGCAAGGGTAGCAAGGCCGGACGGCTTTTTCCGACTGGCTCACGTCAACTCGTCCGGCCCTGCACACGTGCGCAGCGGAGCCGGATGGATAATATGATAAATGATATTATTTATGATTCACCTGTGATAGATCAGCATGTGATACCGGGACCCCCTCTCTGACCTGTTGTTCTTCTCTTCGTCATCTTTAGTGTAATGCAGTCTGTAGTGGCTCATATTAAGATAAACGACGTTTACAGCCCAACTTTGATGCTACTGGAGGAACGAAACCGGCAGAAGAACATCAACCCAAATGCAAAATGGTAAGTGTCTTACCAGACTCGAAACAGTGTTTAAGTGCGGGTTGAATGCTGGGTTGCAATGATTTTGCTTTATTAAGGCCTCTATTTTTTCTAGGAAACTCGCGCCCACCTTTGAACCGATCGTAACTGAAAAATTAATCACAACTTGTTCACTCACGTTTTTCCGAGCCCAGCCCGTGTGACTACTTTGGTTTTGGTTATAGTTTTCATCTAAATTATTTTTTATTTTTGTATTAATTAATTAATTTATTTATTTATTTATTAAATGTCTATTGACTAATTTTTATACGCTATTTGTCCTCAAGGGCACTCTTATCGCTCTTGAAAGTCGAGTATGTTTGTTCTTAACGGATGTAATTTTCTTGCTGTCAGGAGTGTTTATCGAGAATTGCTGTACTTGTCACTGACAGCCTGTGGGGCAGAGAACGTTGACGTCGGTGAGAAATCAAAGCGTTTCCTTTAATCCAACGAAATTTAACTTTTGAGCAAAGGAATATGGTTTTAGTATTATAATATAAGCCGAGAAATTTCGGAGATTTGATCGGTTGACAGTATCACTATTTCAGTGTAATAGTGGTAGGAGAGCAAAAATGGATGATTTAGCAAGGTTACCATGGCAACGTGGTGAGGGAAGAAAGGAGAAAAAGATTGTTACGAATGCAGACGCCTGTGTTTGTTTTTTCGACTGTAATGAAATAAAGGTCTCTTGTGCTTTTCCGAAAATTACTCAGCTTTAATTATAAACAAATGAAAGTATGACCTGTACCTGGTGTTTGGCGATGATACTGGCTCGTAATATTTCAAAATTTTCTAAATAATTTGGACGATTTTAAAATATCACTCGCGGTGTTATTGCCAAATACCATTACACAAGCCATGCTATTACCTATACAGTGTAGATATTCCCCGTTGCGAACAAAAAACAATTTATTTTGAGAAACTTGTTTCTTTTACTCCTCTTTTGTCATAGTGGATTTCCAACTACATTTTATATTGAACGATTTCTTTTTCTATCACTACTCTCTTAGATGCCTTCGACAAAGAGTACAGACGAGCCTATAGACGCCTGTTGGAGTCAAAGAACCACTCAGATCTGTTGTGTTTGGAGGACAAAAGCCCGCAAACTCGTGCAGTGTTCTGCAGGCGCGTTTTTGATACACCCGCACTCCAACCCAGGCTCCCGAAACACCTCGTCAATAGCCTCACGTGATCTGGAAGATATTTACCTCTGTGGAGTCTTCGGAAGGCTGGTACTTTGATTTGTATAGATGTTCAATCCTCAGATTGAGAAGGACGAGATCTCGGAATCCGTCAGTATTTTTTGTAAGATGGTGGAACTGGGTATTGTTTCCTGACGTATGAAATGTGTTGCAATTGTCCATATGTTGAAAACCACTTTGCAATATTCGGTAAAGGAAGAGGGCGAAAACATTTAACGAAAGCACCATTATAAGATTATCAGAATATTCCTGTTTGGCGCTACCTTGACTGCTAAAACAGTACCAATGGGAACGCATTTTTATATAGTTAACCTCAGCAGTGGTTTTGAACACTTTACCTTAGTTCGGGACTAGCCCGACATCAATGTTGAACTAGTTTTGTATTCAACGGCGGTTTTAAACTTGGAATTGTACTATTACGTTTTTATCTTTACCCAATTCATTAGCAGTAATGTGGCTTTTTGTGCTTGAAGACGCGCGCGGCTTATATTCACACGTAATTCTTTGCTGACTAGGTGTACTTTTCAAACTTCACCTTGTGGGGTTTTAAGGCAAGTCTTCATTTCCAATATTTTTTCAAAGGTAGTCTTTCACAATGAATTTGGTTTTTTTCGCTGAGCAAAAGTTCAATCGAGGCTTAATAAATATTTTCTTAAATTCGTGGGTAGATATTTAGGAGGAAATAGATATACTCGGAAAGACAGACGTGTCTTGATTTAGAGACTTGTTATTTTTGAGCGGTCCGAATGTGCAACTGTCTTGACATGACAGTCAGAAAATTTTATTTACAAGGTCAATCATTGCAGCACGAGACTGTCATAATCTGATTCTAGCTGATTGCGTCGGCAGCTGGGAGCAAACTGTTTTTCTAGCTTTACATTCACAAGATGTTTTCTGAAGAATTGTAACTTGCTCGAGCAAAATTTATTTACCACAAAATTATACCAAAATAAAAGCAAAAAAAGGTAACAAGAAATTCTAATTTATGTTTAGGAATTAAAACATTTCGGGGAAAAGTAAATTTTTCTAATTGCTCGGGCCAGCCTGATTCTTATCACTTTCGCAGATTTTATCAACCAACAATTGTGAATCGTTAAAGCATTAATATATTTTTAATTATTTAGCAAACTTTCCGCGCTCAACTGTACGCTAAACAAGTCGCAAAAGAGTAAATTTAACTTGTCATGTTTTACAATCGCCCGGAACAATCGACAGAAACGTGGCTATTCTGTGCCAATTTGGAGGAGGCTTGAAAATTCAATAGAAGGAGTTTTGTAGAGGTTAAAAAAATGTCTTTAAGTGGATGATATTTTGCATCAAAAGGCGAGTCAATGTAATCGTGAAAAATAATATTAAGTTCTTTTAAGTATCGCTTCCAAGTATTATTAAAAAATCAGATTGTAAATACAAATACAGTCATTGTTTAGAAATAATTGTACAGCGCTCTTAACTTGTGAAAAGTCGCATTGTGAACACTCGTATTTGTCAGGGTGCAATAAAACCGTAAATTGTCCTTTTTAATTGAGTTGCTTGTTAAGGTGCTTGCTCTTCCACACTGATTTTCTTATTCCAGGATCATTTGGTGTTGTGCTCTTCCCTCTCTACTCACTGTCGATATCAACATTCAAACGCGTTCCCATCAACTCTCTCTCTGTTTCCCTGGCTTGCACATTCGACACCACCCTAACCGGGCTACCTTTTCCCTGGGGCGTTAAAGTTTCGTAGTTATCCTCTTTCAGAACTTTACCACTTTATTACATCTATTTTGAAATTACTGGTGATCCTCGCAATCTGATTGGCTCTCGTGATCGGTGCGTATTTTTGCTGTAAATCGCATGAGGCAATGAGAGACCCTTACTAAAAAATAACAACCAATCAGATTTCAAGACCTATTTAAAGTAACTAATCAAATAAGGGGGAAATGAGTGACAACTTTGTACAAACAGCGTTCGTAGAATTTTGAAAACACTAGCATTATTTCAGACCAAACTGCACTCCACTCAGTTCAATTACCATTATAATTGCGTTTAAAAATGATTATGCATAGTAAATAAATGTGTGCTCCACTTCACTGCACTCTATCTCGGAGACCTTGTGTGAAAATACAATTTTTAAACGGTTCCTTGTCAACGCCTTGTAACCTGATTCTTTACTTTTTCACCGAAATGTAGGTTGCACTGTTTATATCAACACAACTTTCTTTATTTGTAATTTGGATATATCAACAAAGTTGAAATGGTAAATTGGCCACCGTAACGATTACAAAAGCTGACGTTTGTGGTCGATCAGACATTTGTCAAAATTTGTTAACCATACAGGGGAAAAGCTAAACTAAATTAATTTCGCTTTGATAACTAAAAAATCACATCGATTACAGTCATCTTGGCGAGTTTCAGTTTCAACTAAATTTGAATTTTTCCGTCATGTTTCAAAATCACTGACCGGTCAATATCTGCAAGTCTAACGAGTCTTGTGCAACAAGAAGTCGACTCTACAGAACAACTTGCCGACTTCAAATATAAAACAGGTTTTCTTGTGGCTCTTCTCTTCCCTGGCGAGCGAGTGAGAGAATCATCTTAGTAAGCTGTGGTGTCACGTCTTTAAAGACAGGCACAGGACATCACTACAAATTCATCCATTTTCTTGAGGATGTATGTGCTCTGCCCTGGTTCGCCGTAGAACAACAGGTCAATGGATCCTAATTCTCCTGGGACGCAGCAAGGTGAAGCTGGTGGGTTCGAATCATGTTCACTTAAGAATAACTGTATCCGGGCGTGATTGGTCGTCTCTATGTTGACGTCAGCATTTTTGCACGTTCCTGCGCAATAATATGCCGAGTACATGCGTGGCGCAATAATCCACTTATCCCATCCAAGGTCTTTAAATTGCACGCTCAGTTCATGACGTCCACAAGGTCCTCTATGGTTGGGGTGTAATGACCTGCGCATGCGCCGAAGCGGGTTAGCAATGGATGTGAAATTGGTGCCCAGTTTTGGGAAACTTTTAGAAAGATCAGTAGTATGAATGAGAAGAAGCATTTCCAAACTTGAGTTTATTTCATTTGTCGCAAATCTTATTAAAGGTGACATCGTGGTGTCGCTGACGTTCACTTTGATTCCGGCGTTTCGCTCTGGCTTTTCATTCCATTGATTAATGACATCCAATGGCAAGGTAAAGTTCATCCAACCGACTGTTTCCATGGAGATGGTCTGAGATGACAACCGCTGTCCACTGTAAATGTCAAAGATGAAGACTGACGCTGTGGGGATGAAGTTTTGGTTACTCTGATCATGGGGAAGTTTGTAAAGCTGAAGCTCGGCAAATGTCAGCACTTTCGTCCTAACTGAAATATTGAATTTCAAATGCCTGTCACTCGTGCCATCTGAAAAGATAAGGGAAACAAAAATACTGGATTTTCACGTGGATTCCTTTTCGTACATAATGTTCACTATGAATAAACATCGGGAAGATGTGTAGCCGTATTTTACCCCTCCCCCCTCAAACCGTATTTTACCCCCTTCCCCCCCCTCAAACCCGCCGGTATTTTCAGAGAGAATGTTCTAGTGCCACTGCTAAGAGATGAGTTAGAATGGTCAGAAGAATAAAAGGTGGAATAAAGCTGGCGTTTCGCTTTCCAAATTTTAGGACAAATTTTGTTTCCTGTCATGTTCAATTTATCATCACTGCATTAGACCTGAATTAACACGAAACCTCTCAGGAAACAAAAATGGTTTTTTAATGCATTTGTAGATTATTGTTTCAAAACAATCCTTTACTTGGCATCATAGACGGAAATACAAGTTGATAGTAATCAATACTTGTCCTTTCATTTATGGCACGCTCCTTTGGTTTTAAGCTTAGGTAAGTCAAACGAATTGCATAACCTGCTCCAACCCCTTTTGTGCGGAAAATTCATTGTAGCCTCTAGAATTTAATTAAATATGAGTCTTGATGGGAAATACAGCAGGCAATGTCCTCTTCGCGTGTCCCACACCCATGACAAACTTATTTAATAGTTGTCAAATAAAAACGAGAATTATTCTCCCAAAACCCAGGTGGTTCGATAGCATAGAGGGATGGCACAAAATCAAGGTGAAAAAGAAGGTTAGAAAAGAAAACGGATACAACATGTACACATAAGCCAAAAAATAAAAAAAAAATAAAAAAAAATCAGAGAAGCGGGAAAAACTTTTTCATACTGTGAAACTATTTAGCTATATAATTTGGATATATCAACAAAGTTGAAATGGTAAATTGGCCACCGTAATGATTACAAAAGCTGACGTTTCGAGCGTTAGCCCTTCGTCGGAGCGAATAGAGGAATTGTGGGTTGTGTGTGCTTTTAAAGGCAGAAAATGGAG